ACTTATTCAGAAATACTGACAGTAAGTCTAATTGACTAACTATGAAAGTGCTGTCAATGTTGAAATAATAAAGATAGATGTTAACATGAATTTCTTCTTCATATCAACTGGATACACCACAAAACCAGCCAGTCAATCGGAGACATAAGTCCCACAAGAAAATTGTGCATCATCCGCGAGGCAAGAACTCAGGCCAGGAAGCAGCGCGTAATCCGCTTGTAGAGAAACATTGAGGTCAGCTTTGGCGCACTAAGCCACCTCCATGACCGACCGGCACCACTACAGAGGCCCTCACACGACTTGGTCGCTTCTAAAAGCAGACCACCAAGAACATTTGCCAGGATTTTCATGCATCGAGAGTTCGTCGAATATAAAAAGGGACAAGCAATAACACTAAGCTCATTGGTCACACGCCAGATCAAAAAACGTAACTTGACGGTTCGATGCCCTGCGTTCAGTGAAGGAGAAGCTAGTTCTGTTCACTCTCCAAGAGATTCAGTAACCAGAAACCCGGTTTTATTATAATAAACGTAGAAACATTTTCAGCTTAATTCTAACGGATCATTTTATTAAGAATAATCCATGGATTATCAAGAATAATTATTCAATTTAATAAGAATAATCCATCAAATGACGAATTCAGAGCAGTTTTAAATGCTTTAAACTTGAGAAATGAACGACGAATGACGAATTCAAAGCCGCTTTAAATGCTTTAAACTTAAGAAATGAATTACTATTATTTGAATTATGTTAAATCAAGTGTAAGTAACTGTACTCTCACAAATTAAAAAAATGCTATCGTACAAAACTCGTGTCTCCAACAGCACCCTTGCGAAATACATCTTCTGCCTAACAGTACATTTATCCTCAAACACTATAAATAACTAGTATTCATAACTAAAATGAAACTATTTTAGTGCGGCTTCTATGGATCTGCTACATAATACAGATTAAGTCATAAAATTAATAAGTAATCCGTTCATTCACTTCAACCCTTGAGTTCTCGTAAAAAAAACTTTCGTGAAAATTACTGCTATGCATGTTCATGGAACGAATGAAGTATAGAATTCTGGTTCGAGGACATGGCCGTGAGAAGTTTAATTATCCATCTTTCAGATTACAAATACATTTACATATAAGATTCATCATCCAGCCAAAAAAATGAATAAAAAACACTTTTTAACATTTTAGGTTGATTCACTAATAAGGAGTAGTTAAATCCATCATCGCGTGGCGGTTGGTATATGGGATCGCGGTCGTGTCAAGCACTCGCACGCGAGCCTCAAACCACCATCGATTCGATGAGTATAGGATGGAAGGTACGAGCTATTTCAACATATTCACATCGTACAGAAAAAAACTGAATACTACAAAAAGTATCAATGTAAATAAAGGAAAAATACTTGGAATTAGTTGGAATTTAGGAAGTAAGTAAAATAATGTCCCAAGCCAGTATAAGCGCGGATCGAGTTCTATGTCATCTCATTTCATCTTGAGCTACCACGAGAAACTTTAAATTTTGTAACTAAATGCAATTGCATAGAACATACAGCCATTCTAGTAACCGAATGAAATAGGGATCTCAACAGCCAAGGCCCGTCGGCGTTGTTGGCATTTTCACTCTTCCAGAACCGCAGGAACTCGGTGGCGGCGGGGTATTTTTTTTAATGCACGCCCGCCATATGTGCCACAACTGCAGACACGACTCGTCTTTTGAAGGCAGCAAAAGTGGCGGTGGAGAAAAGAAAGAGTCTCGCGAGGCTGCAGGAGTGACAAGAGTAGCGAGGCATTAATATTCAATCGCCGTGCAGCGCACTGACGCGACACATCGTTACCGCCTGTCGCAGTAGTGGCCGCAGCTTGTATCTCGACGCGCCCAACATTTCCATGCGGCCCGAATAGTTTTGGGCGCCGCGCAAAGAAACCAAGCATTTCTCTCCCTGTTCAGATGCATCTTCACGCGCTCATATGCAAGCTGTGCACCAGAATCATATGATGCAGATGAGCTGCATTTCCCTCGACAGGACGTCTCTTCCGGCTGTATCGCGTACGTAGGTTTGCATTCAACGCAATATAAATTCAATTATTTTCTTGAATGAGGAATGCCATCACGGTAGTAAGGGAGATTGCGATTAATTTGATTCTCAACCACCACACCTCTATTGTTATCGTTCAAAAAGTCATTAATAAATTGTTCATAATTTCCCGAGTTGCTATGTGTTTCAACAAAAAAATACTTGTCCGACAGGACAAGCGAGTCATTGAATAGTGGCCAGAAAATTAGTTTCAGTAAAATTTCTTGTGATCCAGTTCCCGATGAGACAATAAATAACTGAAAAAATCGGTACAAAGATATTCAATTTGTAATTGAAGGAAAGTAATCCAAGAGAATCCACAGGGAATCAATTTTTTTAGAGAAAAGAAAATAACAGCGAGGTAGGGCCTAGTCTTGCTCGCAAGAATGAAATGCATGCAAATTGAGAGAAGCACTCCATCCTTAGACTAATCTTTGGTGAATAGAATGTCTGAGTACGGAGCGCCTTCTAATCTCGGCACGGGACGACTGAGTAAATTCCTTTTATTCAAGCCCTACGAAAAGACCGAAAGTTTACAGACGTCAGAACGAAGGGAAAGCTGTAAATAATCGCTGAATACAGTTGAATATTCAACAAGGAATTGCCTCAAAATAATAAAACGAATTCATTAATACGGAGGTTCATAGTATTAATAATCTTTCAAGCTGATGTATAAAAGATTGAAAAATCTGTTTTCTTACTTTTGGAGGGCAAACATGAAAAACATGAATTCTCAGTTTGACATGAAGTTGACCAGCCAATCTATTTCAGAAACATTTTAGAATTACTTGAAAACCATCTCACGAATTCTAACGCCTTAGCTGAACTAACATCGGAGAACTTTTAGGGAAAGAAGTTTTGTCTTCCAAGGCGGCCGCCCATAACACATTCGGTCACAATCTTAATCTTGCATCTAAATTAGCTCTTGAAGCCACCAAGGCTCATTATCGCCGGCATTAGCAAGTGATACCACACCAACATCGCCAACTACGCAACAGCCTATCAGGGCCAGCCCTACAATGCTAATAGTTGGCATCAAATGATCCGAAACAATTGTTGAAGCAGCTATCAAAAAATAGATACAAAGGGAACGAATTAAAATGTCAAAATTAAGAGCAAAATTAATCATTGACAGAGACCACATGGGAAAAAATCAGTGAAATAACTTCGTTTGATAGACTCGTAAACTGAAGATTATAAAATTTTGAGGTGGCTGGAAAAGAAAGCAGTTGAGTGTATGAAATTTTTCGCAGAGAAGCGTGACGCACAGTGAAGAAGTCTAGCTAGCCTCTAGAGGCAAATGACAGTCGTTGGTGTCAGATTAGCTGCTGTAATGGACGTTTCAAATGGACCTCGAACGTCGCACGTACGCATCGATTTCGTGAACCCGCCTGACATTGCATGACATTCAAGAGTAGAATTGTCCGTAACTTCCATCAGTGAATGATGTTAAAATAGATTTTACTTTGAACCGAACGTACCGTTTTAAATAAATAGTTTCGTACTGTACGTTTAAAACGAACCGAGACTATGCGAAAACTCTATTTTTCACAAAAAATTGCCTAATATTACATTGAGTATGCAAGAACACTCAAATGAGAAGAAACTATAACTTTAAAGAGGAATAATTTCATTTATTAACTTGATGAATGCCACTCACTATGAACCCTGGAACAGCTTCGATAAGCTGCACACGAGCAAGTTTCTGCGACACGAAGTCTTCACACAAAGTCTTCCATAGTTTCATTTCGTCCAAGTTCGTCGAGTGAAAAAAGAAGTTGAAGCCGACAGTGAGAATGAACAAATTGCAGAGCAAAAGAACAAAAACGCTTTCGTAGATCAAACGAGGTCTGAAAACTCATCTGGCTTAAGTTGAGGAGGTAGCGACGCTGGCGCATCTCATAATTTATGGCCAGAGTTACGATTGGCTCGAGGCAAACGAGGGGATGTCATGGAAACTCCCAAAGAAAGATCCAAAATTTCCACACGGTAGAAATCGTCGAAATTGATTTTCTAACTGAAGAAAGTGATTTGATAATTGATAATCGTTTCATTGTGGTGCATTATGATCTTCGAAAACCCGAACAATATTCGAAGAACGTCAAGACACTTTATCAGAGTGAAAGCTATTCGGAAGCAACGGCCACGGCAATTATAACACATACTTGAACAATGCAAAAACAATACGGATCATTAATTGCACGATTTTAAAACCAGGTTAACATCAAAAAATGTTCATAATTTTCATTTCAATTATTTTAATTAAGGAACAAGTCTCTTTAAGGCACAAGCCTAATTAAACTTCCCCGAAGGTACAAATTAATCTCATAACCAGGAAGAAAAAATTGGTGGCAAAGTGCAAAAACTTCGTTGACTCGATTCGAGTATTGAAGCCAGCTAAGTTGGAAGACTCTTTCAACTTAAGGAAGATGAAGTCGAACAACAATCATAAAAAAGAACGTGAAACTTTACCTTATAAAAAATTCGACTTGGCACTATACTTTATAACAAAAATCTGATTTGCTTTAAAATGCAAGCTTTCGATTTCGAAGCTCTTTCTTCGCATCGACATAGCACAACAAAATTAGTAATGACATTTGTTTTGCACATCGATTAAACTATTTCAATCTTTGGCAACATCACGAATTATAATAGCATCCATTCAAAACTATATAAGAGCCTCTACATTAGACACAACACATTATAATTTATGTATTACATTATAATCTTTATTATAATGTAATACACATCCTGTCAAACTTTTTTATGAAACGCACCCACTTTTGAAAAATATATAATTAATTTCACAAAAATTAAATTTCTTCTTAATTCAAAAATGGTTACATTTCTTGAAGAAAAATTACATTATAAATAAAAAATAACTGAACGTAAAACAAAATTACAGATATCATCAGCAATACTCACTGAGGACGGTGAGGTGACCGGTAGCGCGGATGGCAGCATGACCGTCCGCTGGCCCCACTTGGCACTGGAAGTCTGCGTCGTCTACGAGCGTCGCGTTGTAGATGCGCAGGTGATGCTCCCCCGCTGACGCTTCGCCCACCATCTCATAGCGCTCGTTTGTCGGTATACTTCTATTGAAACCTGTACAATAGGAAATATACCTTCAATGTTTGCTCATTTAGGAATTATTAATAATTATAATACTAATATAAAAACACAGTTAATATATTCATTGATGTTCTAATGAAAACAATTAGATAATTTACCAAAGGTAATCTCAAATGCATCTGCTACACGAAGTTATTGCACGAGAAGCAGTTTAATATGCACAAGACGACATAGACTTTATAGACTTCAGCATTTCCCTTACGTGTAAACGACTCAACCTGAACAGAAGCTCTTTCGCATACATGAATGTTAGCTGATGAGATTGAATTTTATAATTAATTTTTTCAATTTTAACATTTTTGTAGGAATATGAGGCTTATTTTGCAACTCAGGTTGTAAATGAGCTTCTGCCGAAACTACTCAAATTTATGTATCAAAAACCGCGGAGTTTGTGTAAAAAATCACTTCATAAATAAAATGAGCTATAGCACGTAAAATTATAAATGAGCCGTAAATTTGCATTGTTGATGCTCAATGTAGGGTAAGGGAAAATTGGTATTGTACCTTGAAGTAGAGTATTAGGCAATACCATTCGTTGGATAGGTGATGAGTCAACTTTTTTTAAATTAACGTCGTAAAAAATAAAATGTACAAAATATTAAAATGGTATAGTGCATTTGAACTGTGTAGCAAAATAGAGATGAAAATTGTAAAACTATAATACTAACAATTAATATAAGAAGTCTACAGAAACATTAGAAGAGAAGATAAAATTTAATTCTTCATCCTGCCTATTAGTTTTTGCATAAAAGATTTAATGTCAGAGACAACGTAGCATGCAAATATAATAATCAATTCAAAATGCATAATTTTGTAAACTTGGACACCGGCCATACTTTGTTCAGCTGGTACTGGATATACATGGCCACGCGTAGCACATGATACGCTTGGTCAGGTTTTCCCACGGAACGGAAATTTATTGAAGCAAGAATATCGGAATTCTCCCACGCACACCGCAATGCAATGGCGAAAAACGCCCGAGGTGTGAAGGCACGCGCCTGGACGTCGACAATTACAGTATGTAACGTAGGAGCTATTCCATTCATTGCTTGACCGAGGCAAGATTCTGAGCATCAACAACAAACCAAGTTAATAAAATATTCACCACTATCTTGCGTTAGGAATTTTCTCTGTGCAGAACTGTTTCAAAAAGAGCAAATGAGTTTCGTCAGCGTTGAGAACACGTGTATATTGGGCAATACACACAATACAGACATAATACGAGTACAAGTTCGCTAATAAGTAGAGGTTCATTAGAAATAAACAACCTATAAGGTAAAACAACATATGTACTATTCTCTACCAATAGACTAACACGTGCAAACACAAGTGCTTACGTTAAAATGAATTGTGATTCAGATATACCAAATGTTACAGCTAGCGAGAAGGGAAAAGAAACATCAGAATAAAATCCCTTGCAATAAAACTTCTAGTGAAGCCATAACTCTGCGTGCCACGAAGACCAGAAAAAAAGAACAAAACAAACAATCAAGACTTGCGTCGTTCCAACATCCACTCAAATAGATGAAATGTACGCTTCTAAAGAGGCAATAAACTTTTGCAAAGTTTCCGAAGTACCGTGTCCTTTCGACGGGAAAAAATTACAAAACCCAAAGCATTCATAAAATATCCATCTTTAAATATAATTATCAATAGACGGTAGGCTTTAATACAATATTTTTGACGAGAATAGGACCTCAAAATCTACGAACAAACCATGAAAATTACGGAAGGGTATCAGCTACACTCAAAGCGTCACCAAATAAATGTCTGCAGTTCCAACTATAAGGGACACAACGCCTAATAGCAGAAACCAAAGAAACGGAGAGCGAAAGAGAGAGAGACCTGGAACAGGGCTTTTATTTTAAGGCTATTGGTACCTTGGGTGCTTCAGTTTGCTCACACAAAAGGCGCACTCGGCACAATCGAATGCTAATTTCACGCCAGTGCAATAAACGGCCTCCTTCTGCTGGCTCTTCGGAGCGAACTTCCGCTAAAGCATTGAAGCAACTGAGGCGAAATAAAATGTATAAGTTGTTTACGTCTTTTCCCTACTCGGAATGCTATGAACGACTGACACTGGCATGGACCAAAACGCTCTAGAAGTATAATAGTGTTCGGCTAAGTGCATGAGACCGTGTATGAAAGAGTATTAAAAAAATCCTACATTACACTAGAGTAACCGTTGTTAAAATGCAAATAGCTATAATTGAAAACAGTAGCAAAATTAAAATCCATCTTCACATAGCATGATCATCAGGCAAGAATTCGACACTGGTCTTTACACGGGCATGCTGATCGCCTCTGACATACATATTTCAAGAAACTTTTCAAACAAGACACGCTCTCACCAAGAAAATTTTTGATAAGCGATTGAGAACTTGTCGCATAAGGTATTACAATCTCTATATTCTACTAAACAATGAAAAAATCAGTCGTCTCCAATTTTTAAACATCTACAAAAAATTCACAAAACGCTCAATGAAAGCACAGTTCGAATAATATCTCCAAAATGAAAAGTTCGTCTTTCATGAGGCTGTACTTATGGAGAGCAATATTTTGAGAGTTTTTGGGTGTATTGTTGCTCTCGTCAAGAGTCGAGTAATTATGAGAATGAACGCGGTGTTGAGAGCCCTCTTATATTAGCGGATGAAGAGGAACCGAGACACGCATCCGCACCTATCGACTGCGGTTCCCCTGGAAAAAGTCCTCATATTTCCAACTCAAATTCTTAAAAAAATGACAATTTGTTGTCATGAACATTGCAACGTAGAATAAAGGTAAACTGAATTAAACAATAAACAGAGGCAATTTTCAAGGTCAGTTCTGGTTAATTTGTAAGTGGAGTGGGAAGAAACATCCTTCCTGAGGTATTTTTAAATTTGCACATTCGATTGGCTACTTGGTTTCATGAAAAGACCTTGAAGTTTCCATCATTTATAAAGCAAATTATTGAAGCTTATCGCAACCGTTCATTGACAAATAGTACAGGTATCCACAAAGTCGTGATTCATCTATAGTTATGGATACGACGAATAATTATTAACAAGACGACAACAACATCCACAAACAGAAGTTATCAGGGAGTTAGGCCACATGTAAGACCATAAATATGAAGACGCAGATGTTTCAGGGAAAATATATGATCAACTCGTACCTAAAACACACACGACGACGTAATTTCCTTTGCTCAGTAAAAATAAGTATTAATTACTTGATACCCAAGAAATAATGCCCATTCGAAGCTATTTCAAAGCCAGTGAAGATTACCAGTGCAAAGTGCTCTGCAGGTTCTTGCATTCCAAGTATGTTCAATTTGTTCCTGAGCACACAGAGGAACGTTTTCACGAGTGATGAGAATTTCATGCAATCATGCCAACAATTGCAATAATCCGGAACTTTGAACGGTCTCGATGGAGTCATAAAGCACGCATCGCATCACAAAGCGCTTCTGAAATATGGGTCATCAATTTTCAATAGCGCATCGCAAACCCGAATCCATCAACACCTTGGCTCAAGTAGCAACTTCGCCGCTCCTAAACTGGAAGCATTGGAAACCAGCGAAAAATTGACATAAAAATTACTAAAAGGAGCACGACAATAAAGCATAAGGAGTAAAAACAAACCCATGGAAGTACGTCAATGACGGGAGCTAACACAACGATTTTTTGTAGTGGTTTTGCCCGTGTTTTTGAACCCATAAATTCAAAAAACCTCTTCAAGGCAAAAAATATTAATGTATAACACTACTTGGATATAAATTATCAGGTAACATATATTTTAATCGATAATTAATGAGAAGATACTCAGTAGCGCACAACAGTAAGAACACGGAAAAACTTTAATTAATTAATCTTTTATGGAACTTTAACCCGTGAGCTCAAAGTTAGAATAGAAATGGAAACTTCGAGGTCGAGGCCGGGCCGTCACTCTGAATAACCAGTAACCATCCATCCAGTCCAACAGAAGAATTCAAACCTAACAAATAAATTAGAATTTGCATTAATAACAATTACTTGTAGATTGCTGCGTGACTTCAGAACCAACGCAAACATTAAACTTTGACAACTAAGAAACAGAGATAGAATACGAGACTTAATGATTAGTAAATTCGAAAATCGACAAAATGTATTTAAATAAACGAGGCTTAGAAATAAAATTTACTTTAATAAGGTAGAAAAATAGTGATGACTTTGAATTCCAGTTTAACACAGAATTAAAACTCGTTAAAATTTTCGACGCAGTACGTTGACCCGTCGGGCTGAATTAATATGCATGCACTTCAAAACAAATGAATAATGAGGGAGCAATTGGAGCAGAGCAGAGCAACGCCGGTCATCAGCCCGTCATTAATCTCCGACCAGAGAAAGAAAAACTGCGCCACTTGTTGCGAGCAGAGTTGGCGGCTTCTTTCCTGAATAGCAATGGCATTATGCAAAATAAACGGAGAAGCGATTAAATTTCCAGTAACAATGAGCGTAAATACTTCTTTTTCGTAACATGATGCGGTAATTTTCAAGTGGGAACTCAGAATCTGGCTCAACGCTAGAAGTTGGTAATTCTTTGTTGCTGACGTGATGAACACTAAGATGCTGATGAATTGGACTGAAGATATAAAAATTAGTTCACGTAAACCCAAAAACGAAGAGAAGCAAGTCTAAATAACTGCACTGCACAGTAACGTCAAGGTACGTTCTGCTGTAAAAAAACTGTGCTAGCTTCTCAGTCATATCCAAATTAATTTATGGCAATTTTAATTAGAGGTAAATAATAGTTATATTACAATATATAATAATCACCGAAATGATATCATTCGGCTCAAGAAATGACAACAAGAAGAATGATCGCGTTTGAAGCTTAAATTGCAGAAATAAATATTAATTTTTGCACATTTGAACGCATTAATGACTGGCTAGCAACGAGCGGTCGCGTTCGAACCTCTGCTGTTTGGAGCCAACACATTGGCATTACGC